TATATATATATATATATATATATAATATATATATATATATATATATATATATATATATATATATATATATAGAGTACTCTAAAAGTTCGCAATGGTCTAGAAATAGGTAATTTGGAGTCTAGTGTCCTGGTGGAGTGCAGTGATGCTGGAATCTGCCAGACTTCCCAAAATATCACTGAGCGCAGGTTTATCTACGTTTCATATATATGGAAATTTGAAGCCACATTTCCTCTCTCCTTGAGATTATCAGAGCATCGGGAGAGCGTATGAGTTGGGCGTGATTGGAAGCCGGGCTGGTGTGACGGCTGACTGGTGGGACGGCTGGCTGGTGTGACGACTGGCTGGTGTGACGACTGGCTGGTGTGACGGTTGACTGGTGTGACGACTGACTGGCGTGACGGCTGACTGGTGTGACGATTGACTGGTGTGACGACTGGCTGGTGTGACAACTGGCTGGTGTGACAAATGACTGGTGTGACATCTGACTGGTGTGACGACTGACTGGTGGGACGGCTGACTGGTGTGACGACTGGCTGGTGTGACGGTTGGCTGGTGTGACGACTGACTGGTGTGACGACTGACTGGTGGGACGACTGACTGGTGGGACGACTGGGTGGTGTGACAATTGGCTGGTGTGACAACTGACTGTTGTGACAGCTGACTGGTGTGACAACTGACTGGTGGGACGGCTGACTGGTGTGACGGCTGACTGGTGTGACGACTGATTGGTGGGACGGCTGACTGGTGTGACGGTTGACTGGTGTGACGATTGACTGGTGTGACGGCTGACTGGTGTGACGATTGACTGGTGTGACGGTTGACTGGTGTGACGACTGACTGGTGTGACGACTGACTGGTGTGACGGTTGACTGGTGTGACGGTTGACTGGTGTGACGAATGACTGGTGTGACGACTGGCTGGTGTGACGACTGACTGGTGTGACAACTGGCTGGTGTGACAACTGACTGGTGTGACAACTGACTGGTGTGACGACTGACTGGTGTGACGACTGGCTGGTGTGACAACTGGCTGGTGTGACAACTGACTGGTGTGACGACTGGCTGGTGTGACAACTGACTGATGCGACAACTGGCTGGTGTGACAACTGGCTGGTGTGACAACTGGCTGGTGTGACAACTGGCTGGTGTGACAACTGACTGGTGTGACAACTGACTGGTGTGACAACTGACTGGTGTGACGATTGACTGGTGTGATGATTGACTGGTGTGATGATTGACTGATGTGACGACTGGCTGGTGTGACAACTGGCTGGTGTGACAACTGACTGGTGTGACAACTGACTGGTGTGACGACTGGCTGGTGTGACGACTGACTGGTGTGACAACTGGCTGGTGTGACAACTGGCTGGTGTGACAACTGGCTGGTGTGACAACTGACTGGTGTGACGACTGACTGGTGTGACAACTTACTGGTGTTACAACTGACTGGTGTGACGACTGGCTGGTGTGACAACTGGCTGGTGTGACAACTGGCTGGTGTGACAACTGACTGGTGTGACGACTGACTGGTCTGACAACTGACTGGTGTGACAACTGACTGGCGTGACGTCTGGCTGGTGTGACAACTGGCTGGTGTGACAACTGGCTGGTGTGACAACTGGCTGGTGTGACAACTGACTGGTGTGATTGACTGGTGTGATGACTGACTGATGTGACGACTGGCTGGTGTGACAACTGGCTGGTGTGACAACTGACTGGTGTGACGACTGACTGGTGTGAGAACTGGCTGGTGTGACAACTGACTGGTGTGACGACTGGCTGGTGTGACAACTGACTGGTGTGACGACTGGCTGGTGTGACAACTGGCTGGTGTGACAGCTGTCTGGTGTGACGACTTGCTGGTGTGACGACTGGCTGGTGTGACGACTGACTGGTGTGACGACTGACTGGTGTGACGACTGACTGGTGTGACGACTGACTGGTGTGACGGCTGTAACGAACACGATTCACAGTTTTAGGCCCTAGTCCTTTTTATTTTTAAATCTACATCACAGGTTTCGAATCCACTTCAGTGTTCTTGAACCCACGTACATGTTCCCAACACCACATCAGTGTTTTACACAACACACGAATAATTACTAATGAATAATAACCATTTTAAAAAATAAATACAGTCCTGGAAAATTTGAAATTTGTAGTGTTAATTATTATTATTAATATGATTATTATTATTATCAAACTTAGCGTTAAACTGCAAACAATTCCCAGATGAAGACGTTTAACAAACAAAAACAGTGCGAAACGTTTATTAAATAACAACATTTCTGACTCACGAAAGTGACACGATTCCAAACAAACCGGAAGACGGGAGGGGCTTGAACTCGCGGTCAGAGAGTCGTAAAACTCCAGACCGACGTGTTAACCACGACATTTCGCTCACACATCAGCTATTTAACGTCAATAATTAACCTGAGAAAGGTCCTGAGAGTAACTTAGTTAATTGATAAAGATTCCAAATTGCTTTTGTGCTTTGTTTGTAGCGTTTAAACATTGTGTCATATATGTCTATCGTGTCCGTGCTTTGAGTCTCAAATGTCTATCGTGTATGTACTTGGTGTCTTAAATGTCTATCATATTTTAATGTTTTTTAGCGATTTTCAAAAAAATTATATATATATATATATATATAATATATATATATATATATATATATATATATATATATATATAATATATATATATATATATATATATAATATATATACCACAAAAATTATAACATTTTGGTCCAAAAAATCAATAATTATGGATTTAAATGTACTTTTCAAATATATTTTTTCAAATACCAAAATTATTTCGATATTTTACATATTTAATTTTCCATTTATACTCTCACAATTTACAATTTACAACTAAGCAAGAAAATGTTAGTGTAAATCAAAAAATATTTCGACCCATCCTGAGCCATTGTCAGGTTGGGAAATTATCATCCTAACATTCACGAGGTAGATCAGTCTTGATCCGAGGAAAGGGAGGGCAGTACCAATTATTCCTAATCTTCTAGTAAAGGATTAAATGTTTCTCTTGTTGTTAAGTATATTCCACAGGGGGGGGGGAAACATCACACGACATTTCGGTCCCTCCTAGACCATTATCAAGTGACTTTATAAAGTGTAAAGTAAAAGGACACAAGTGCAACTAATGTGACATTTTATTGTGGCAACGTTTCGCTCTCCAGGAGCCTTATCAAGCCTTTACAAACAGTACATGTACACAGAGGGTATATATAGGCTTAGAGTGAGGTGCAATACTAGTGGTGGTAGTAGTAGTAGTAGTAGTAGTGATATAAGTAGTAGTAGTACTACCACTACTACCACTAGTATTGCATCTCACTCTAAGCCTATATATACCCTCTGTGTACATGTACTGTTTGTAACGAGGAAATGGTATGGTGATACCGACAAGATGTGGAAAAAGACACTTATGTACAGTTCAGGACATTTATTAAAGGAAACGTTTCGCCACGAGTGGCTTCTTCAGTCCTAATACAGAGAAAACTAAGAAAACATTTATATATATAGTGGCAGGAGTCAGGTGAGGTGACGCGTGGGTAGAGGTGGTAGTAGTAGTAGTAGTAGTAGTAGTAGTAGTAGTAGTAGTAGAAGTAGTAGTAGTAGTAGTAGTAGTAGTAGTAGTAGTAGTAGTAGTAGTAGTAATGGAACTAAGGAGGTGAGGCAAGAGAGGGACCTGCTGGCATCAAGTAACACAAGTTCCCAGGATGGGTAATATCCTCTTGCTTAGTAATTTTGAAATACTGTAACTACCGGATTTTTGCTTTATAGTGTTACTGACAGAAATTAGTGCAGCTTCAATGCATTTTCTCCGCATTGAAGCTGCACTAATTTCTGTCAGTAACACTATAAAGCAAAAATCCGGTAGTTACAGTATTTCAAAATTACTAAGCAAGAGGATATTACCCATCCTGGGAACTTGTGTTACTTGATGCCAGCAGGTCCCTCTCTAGCCTCACCTCCTTAGTTCCATTACTACTACTACTACTACTACTACTACTACTACTACTACTACTACTACCACCTCTACCCACGCGTCACCTCACCTGACTCCTGCCACTATATATATAAATGTTTTCTTAGTTTTCTCTGTATTAGGACTGAAGAAGCCACTCGTGGCGAAACGTTTCCTTTAATAAATGTCCTGAACTGTACATAAGTGTCTTTTTCCACACTGTTTGTAACGGCTTGATAAAGCTCCTGGAGAGCGAAACGTTGCCACAATAAAATGACACATTAGTTGCACTTGTGTCCTTTTACTTTACATACCCGTGTAATACATGTGTTACAGGCAACACCCGTGTAATACATGTGTTCCAGGCAACACCCGTGCAATACATGTGTTACAAGCAACACTCATGTAATATATTTGTTATATAATTTATTTGTTTCAGACAACACTGGTGTAACATATTTGGTACATGCTATATTCACTTCAGGCAACACCAATGTGTTACATTTAACATGATATACACCCTTCAGGCAACACCCGTGTAATTACCATAATATCACCACATTCAACTTGTTATTAGGACGCCGGAGAAACAATAACAACATCGTTAACAAACTAGCAGTCAAGTGTCTACTCGAATGAACTTCATTAAGTCACACGGCTCATTGACTATCAACATAATAATTAACTCTGGACACTGTAGCCTCATCAAGACGTAAATTGCCTGTTCCACAGTAATTATTATTATTATTATTATTATTATTATTATTATTATTATTATTATTATTATTATTACTATTATTATTATTTGTTTTAGTTAATTTTTGTGGCTGTAGAATAAGTAGTTGTAGAAGTATTACGAGAAGTAATAGAAGTATTATTAGCAGTAGTATTAGTAGTAATAGTAGTACCAATATTAATAATATAAGTAGCTACAGTAATAATAATAATGTATCATTAATACTATCTGGCTTCCTCACTACCACGGAGTATAAACAATGTACTTCACCCCGGCAGGTTTCCGTGGCCGGTACTGCGAGGAGGAGACCAACCTGTGTGAGTCTGGTCCGTGTAGCAACGGTGCGACCTGCTCAGGTAACCACACCAGCTACACCTGCCACTGTACGCCAGGATGGTCAGGTCCCCAGTGCTCCCAGCCCAGCAACCTGGTCCACTACTGTGACAACGACTCCTGTGCCCACGGTGTCTGCCTCGAGACTAAGGATGGTTTCCGGTGTTTCTGTGAGCCAGGTTAGTCTTCAGAAGTGTGGGATAAACCACTACTGACAATGGCGAAAATCAAGTATCATTGCTCCACATCACATGGTTCTACATTTTACAGTGTGGCCTGACCTCCACTGACCTATTTTGAGAACATGAGAGCCAACTGGCCCATGTAAGGCAGGTCCAACTCACACTCACCCACAACCACTCATGTAGTTGTTTGACCTATTTTTAAAGTTACGCAAAATTTTAGCTTCAATGACACTACTCAAGAGTTTGTTCCACTTGTCCACAACTCTGCTACCAAATTAGTGCTTTCCTATATCCTATCTAAATTTAAATTTTCCTAGCTTGAGCCCATTACTGTGAGCCTTGTCTTCATTAGATATTTTAAGCACGTTATTTACATCCCCTTTATTAATTTAAATTTATACACCTAACTCATATCCCCCATATTCTGTGCCTTACCAAAGAGTGCACATTCAGTGCCCTCAGTCTATCTTCCTAAGAAAGATTTCTGATGCTTCTTGATATGAAGCCAAGGATTCTGTTCGCTTTATTGCAAACACTTATGCACTGTTCTTTTGGTTTCAGATTACAGCTAACCAAAATTCCTAAATCCTTTTCGAAATCCGCAATATTAAGATCTGCATTATTTAGTTCATATGTGGCATGGTTATTTTCCTGTCCATCATTTAGAACTTTGCATTTGTCTATATTAAACTGTATCTGCCACTTCTCCGACCACTGCATCAGTCTATTCAAATCATCCTGGAGTGCTCTAATGTTCTCATTAGAATGAATTGGACGGCCTATTTTGGTGTCATCAGCAAGCTTGCTTACGTCGCTATTCCCTCATCTATGTCGTTTATGTAAATTGTGAACAACAAAGGGCCCAACACTGACCCCTTTGGAACACCGCTTGTGACGTGCCCCCATTCTGATTTCTCCTCATTTATGCAGGCTCTCTCCTTCCTATTTCTCAATCATGCCTCTACCCAGGAAAAAAAATTCTCCTCCCATTCCGTGTGCCTTAATTTTCCTCAGTAGTCTCAGTTGCTGACGTCTATCAAAAACCTTACAAAAGTCCACATGCACAATATCATATTCATTACCATGATGTACCTCCTCAAACACCTTAGTGAAAAAAGTTAGTAAATTCATAAGACAGCAACGTCCCTTTGTAAAACCGTGTTGAGAATCATTAATCAATTTATGGCTTTCAAGATGACTACGAATTGCCTCGGCAATTCGTAGCCATAAATTTCCACAATTTCCATAAATTTCCATAAGTTTCCCCACTATGGAGGTAAGGCTTATTGTTCTACAGTTCCAAGCTAAGTAGTCTGGTGCTTTGTAAATAAGTATTACATTTGCCATTTTCCACTTGTCTGGCACTATGCCACTAATAAATTTTTATAGTGAGCCTGAAGCAAAATAAATTATGTAATATCAGTCAATAGGGATATGGTAATCAAACAGGTTCACCGATTAAACTAAAATAAATCACCAGAACCCTAATGAAATTTTTCAAGAGTTCTTCAAGAGTTCAAAACGGAACTTTGCGAACCATTAACTAACCTTTCTAATATATCTCTTCAAACAGATGTAGTGCACAACATGTACAAGATGGCCGATGTGTTTCCTAATTTTAAATCTGGGGATAAGTAATTGGTCCCTTTCCAAATTTGGAGGATGGTGTATCACACCTCAAATTAGTTTATCATATCACTCTAAAATTCTCTCCAGAGAGTCTGTGTGTGTGTGTGTGTGTGTGTGTGTGTGTGTGTGTGTGTGTGTGTGTGTGTGTGTGTGTGTGTGTGTGTGTGTATGTGTGTGTGTGTGTGTGTGTGTGTGTGTGTGTGTGTGTGTGTGTGTGTGTGTATGTGTGTGTATGTGTGTGTGTGTGTGTGTGTGTGTGTGTGTGTGTGTGTGTGTATGTGTGTGTGTGTGTGTGTGTGTGTGTGTGTGTGTGTGTGTACTCACCTATTTGTCGTTGCAGGGGTCGATTCATAGCTCCTGGCCCCGCCTCTTCACTGGTTGCTACTGGGTCCTCTCTCTCCCTGCTCCATGAGCTTTATCAAACCTCGTCTTAAAACTATGTATGGTTCCTGCCTCCACTACGTCACTTTCTAGGCTATTCCACTGCCTGACAACTCTATGACTGAAGAAATACTTCCTAACATCCCTTTGACTCATCTGAGTCTTCAACTTCCAACTGTGACCTCTTGTTTCTGTGTCCCCTCCCTGGAACATCCTGTCTTTGTCCACCTTGTCTATTCCGCGCAGTATTTTATATGTCGTTATCATGTCTCTCCTGACCCTCCTGTCCTCCAGTGTCGTCAGGCCGATTTCCCTTAGCCTTCTTCGTAGGACATTCCCCTTAGCTCTGGGACTAGTCTTGTTGCAAACCTTTGCACTTTCTTTAATTTCTTAACGTGCTTCACCAGGTGTGGATTCCACACTGGTGCTGCATACTCCAGTATGGGCCTGACGTAAATGGTGTACAGAGTCTTGAATGATTCCTTACTGAGGTATCGGAATGCTATCCTTAGGTTTGCCAGAAGCCCATATGCTGCAGCAGCTATCTGATTGATGTGTGCCTCAGGAGATGTGCTCGGTGTTATACTCACCCCAAGATCTTTTTCTTTGAGTGAGGTTTGCAGTCTTTGGCCACCTAAACTACACTGTGTGTGTGTGTGTGTGTGTGTGTGTGTGTGTGTGTGTGTGTGTGTGTGTGTGTGTGTGTGTGTGTGTGTGTGTCCTTCATGTTATATAGCTGCTTTTATGCAGTAATTCAAATTTTCTCGGAGCTACAGTGTCACTCCACCTCCCTGCCTACCTTCCTATCTCTTGATTCGTGTCACTAAAACCAACAACACTCTTGCCTTTTCTAGTGGTTCCCGATGATACGTTCTCATTGGCTCCACACTCGTCAGGAAGCCCCGTCTTTACTCGTAAGCTTCAGCCTCGCTCCTCTCCTCTCCACTATTGTCTAGCGTTCTTCGTCGTGCTGAAGATTCACCATAGGGGGATTACAACGAATTCTCTTGTTTTTTCATTCGCAGAATTAGCTTCCTTATACTTCATCTGCTGGAACAGCTGCTCCTAAAAATAAAAATGGATTCCGTTCAGACAGGTCACTAGCACGTTCTCACACGATACATGGTCGCTTACTGATACAGGTCAGCGCGCTACTGACTCAGGTCAGCTAGTTACTCAATATAGGTCAGCTCGCTACTGGTTCAGGTCAGCTAGTTACTCAATACAGGTTAGCTCTCTACTGGTTCAGGTGAGCTAGTTACTCAATACAGGTCAGTTCTCAACTCATTCGGGTCAGCTAATTACTCAATATAGGTCAGCTCTCTACCGATTCAGGTCAGCTACTTACTCAATACAGGTCAGCTCTCTACTGATTCAGGTCAGCTAGTTACTCAATACAAGTCAGCTCTCTACTGATTCAGGTCAGCTACTTACTCAATACAGGTCAGCTCGCTACTGGTTCAGGTCAGCTAGTTACTCAATACAGGTTAGCTCTCTACTGGTTCAGGTGAGCTAGTTATTCAATACAGGTTAGCTCGCTACTGATTCAGGTCAGCTCGCTACTCAATACAGGTCAGCACGCTACTGACTCAGGTCAGCTAGATACTCATTACAAATCAGCTCTCTACTGGTTCAGGCCAGCTCGTTACTCAATACAGGTCAGCTCTCAACTCATTCAGGTCAGCTAATTACTCAATATAGGTCAGCTAATTACTCAATATAGATCGGCTCTCTACTGATTCAGGTCAGCTAGTTACTCAATACAGGTCAGCTCTCTACTGATTCAAGTCAGCTAGTTACTCAATACAAGTCAGCTCTCTACTGATTCAGGTCAGCTACTTACTCAATACAGGTCAGCTCGCTACTGACTCACGTCAGCTAGTTACCCAGTACAGGTCAGCTCTCTACTGATTCACGTCAGCTAGTTACTCAATACAGGTCAACTCACTACTCAACACAGGTCAACTCGCTACTCAACGCAGGTCAACTCGCTACTCAACACAGGTCAACTCACTACTCAACACAGGTCAACTCACTACTCAACACAGGTCAACTCACTACTCAACACAGGTCAACTCACTACTCAACACAGGTCAACTCACTACTCAACACAGGTCAACTCACTAGTCAACACAGGTCAACTCACTAATCAGCACAGGTCAACTCACTACTCAACACAGGTCAACTCACTACTCAACACAGGCCAACTCACTAGTCAACACAGGTCAGCTCACTACTCAACACAAGTAACTCACTTCTCAACACAGGTCAACTCACTACTCAGCACAGGTCAACTCACTACTTAACACAGGTCAACTCACTACTCAACACAGGTCAACTCACTACTCAACACAGGTCAACTCACTACTCAACACAGGTCAACTCACTACTCAACACAAGTCAACTCACTAGTCAACACAGGTCAACTCACTACTCAACACAGGTCAACTCACTACTCAACACAGGTCAACTCACTAGTCAACACAGGTCAACTCACTACTCAACACAGGTCAACTCACTACTCAACACAGGTCAACTCCCTACTCAACACAGGTCAACTCACCACTCAACACAGGACAACTCACTACTCAACACAAGTCAACTAACTACTCAACACAGGTCAACTCACTACTCAACACAGGTCAACTCACTACTCAACACAAGCCAACTAACTACTCAACACAGGTCAACTCACTACTCAACACAGGTCAACTCACTACTCAACACAGGTCAACTCACTACTCAACACAGGTCAACTCACCACTCAACACAGGTCAACTCACTAGTCAACACAGGTCAACTCACTACTCAACACAGATCAGCTCACTAGTCAACACAGGTCAACTCATTACTCAACACAGGTCAACTCACTGGTAAACACAGGTCAACTCACTAGTCAACGCAGGTCAACTCACTAGTCAACACAGGTCAACTCGCTAGTCAACACAGGTCAACTTACTAGTCAACACAGGTCAACTCACTAC